ACGTAAAATCAGAGATTGGAATCTCTAATTTACAGCCAAACGTGTACATACTTCAAAACTACACTTGACTATGCAAGTCCTGTATGAACCAACCAATCAGAAATAGTGTTATAGACTGGTTTTGAGTAAGCCTTCTATGCTTGTTTGAGTGACCCAAATTACAAATAAATGTGTGCATTCAGCACAGTATACAACAGTAGTTACATGAGTCCAAACCTTAAAAGTGGAATAGCTATATCTTCTCTCCATCGACTTGATGAACAACTTCCACCGAGAAAGATATCCCTTTTCATTAACGAAACAACTTCATTAACATCGTCGTTAAATCGCCAACTAAAAAACCAATCTAAAATCAAAAATAAAAAGGAAGGTTTAATTTACAGTAATAATGAGCGTGTACAAATAAATGATTAGATTTAACATATTTGAATAGTTTTTTGAGATAACATGGAGATGATGAAAAAACATGTCATTTGGTGTGTTTTGTGTTTTTACCATTTTGTAATAAATGAAATGAGACAGTCAGTAACAAAGCTTTCTATTGGTCGGTAAACTTTTTATTGCGCAACCACGTGACATACACGGTTATGAATAGAATTACCGCACAGTGTTGTGGAGGGAGGAATGTGCGAACAGAACAACACTGTGCAGGCGGACATTGCATATGTGTAGGAAAAGCCCCGCACAACAAGAAATGTTTATATACTGATATCGGCCACTTTTTTAGATATCTGCTAAAAGGCATTTACGCATTTACAGGCAAATTAGTAAATTAAAACAATTGTCAAAATTGTGCGTTGAGCTTGGACAAGTTACCTGTAAATGTTATTTCTGACAATAAAGTACTAGACTTATATGACTGTGAGCACATTGAACTGTGTATAGTAAAAGCATAGTACCAGTACACGTGATGTTGGTACTGGTAATATAATCCACCAGAAAACAGAACTATGACAGAACAGTTGAATGTGTGAATTTTTGCTTTAATGTGGGTACTGTTATATATGAAAGGTTTTGACATGAGAATTCTCTGTGCCATGGATATGCAAGACAAAGACAAAGACAAAAACAATGATTTGTTTCTGGTCGGTGTGTGTGTGTGTTAGTTCGTCAGAAAGGGCATGTCACAACTTGAGGAAAGGCGAGTAATTGGTGAGGTTGTTGCCAAAATGATGTAAAAATAAATTAAAAAAAATGTTTCCAAAAAGAATTTTGACACAGAGAAATGTTTTGATTTTTGAGATGAAATAAACAGTGGTTTTGTTGATCACATTGCCAGAAGGAGCAATACTTCATAGTTCATTAGTTTGAATATTACACAGACTGCAAAAATGAAATGATAAAATGATGCCACAAAATATATAATACTTACTGCACAAGTCTCTTGATGATTCTTGGAGTCCCTTCAAATAATATGCTAAACAACCCCGACCATGTTTTGATGGCCAAACATGGCTGTACTCTGTTACTAAGCAACAGAACTCATCGAATGTGAGGCTGTTAACACTTGGAATGTTTTCATGCTCTTTAATAGAGCAATTGCATTTCTTCTGTATGCAGTCAAAGTCGGATGGAGTCAGATCATCACGCCCTGTGGCTGTTTTAACAGCAAGGAACAACTGCAAAAATATTTTGAAGAAAATTATGAGATAGGTTTAAATTATTTATATAACTGTTTATTTGACTGTTAATTAACATTGTAGTACAAAACTATATTTTGAAAAAAAATTGGTCTAATATTATGAAAAATTCTTTTTAACCCATTGAGCACCCATTTATTGTGATCAAAATGTGGATGCAAGATTTCACACATTTTTATGAATATTTCTGTAATTTCTTTCATAATTGTTAATTTTAGCTCATATGAGCATAACTCCTAATTAAAGCGGGGGAGTTGTCACATACATGTATGCATACGTCAGGTGGCCATAGCATGTTTACAAACAAGCATCTACCCATGAGCCTTTGCATTCTTAGCGTGTGTTGTTATCATCACTTGTGACTCAATACCCACGCGTGCGCAGGTGACAACCCTCCCGCTTTAAGCTACTTGCAGGTTAATATTGTGAAAAGTATCAAAAGTAGAATTTTGCATTCAAAGTGTTACTATAGAACACATTAGCATTATTTCATTTTTAACCTATTTCTAAAATATAGATTTTACAAATAATTCAAAACAACAAAAACTACTCTCTGATATTACAAAGAAGTCACAGATCACACGTCTGCTGCAATGCTCAGTGCCAAAATGTAAGCTCCAACTCCAACAATAAAATGTGTACATTGTCATAATACAAACTAATACTGCAAAATGACTAATTTACCATTCCAGGCATATTCAGTGGGTTTTAAATTCATGGTTTTATAATTTCGATAATGTGTCCTATGCTAAATTTTACATATTCACTGGGTTTTAATTTAGCGCATTTTCCAGTCAGCGAAATAAGCAAAATTAAAACCCAGTGAATAATTAATCCTTTTACAGAAAACTTACATCTTCTACGTGTAGGTGACCATTTTTATCCTGATCATACATCTGAAACGTTTCCTTCAAGGCTCTGCAACAAAACAAGATTCAGTGAAATAGTGTCAATTTTTGCTCCTTGGACATGCATACATTTTTGATCACACATTTTGATACTCCCAATTACAAAATGTACTTTGTTAAAAAATTAACTATAAACTATAGAATTTTTTTTTTTAAATATGAAAAATGTTGCACCAAAAATTTTGGCTAAAAATAGGTTAAAAAACAAGTCATCATCATACATGGCATGTAAAAAGCCAGTATGTCTTGCAGGATGTGTAATGTAGAGTTACTTACATTAACCGGTCTCCAGGTCTACAATGAGCATGTTTCTGGTTGACTACTTGTGCACCATCACTCAGTGTTAAGTCTTCTACTTGTACACCTTGTTTTAAAACTTTATTGACACACTGCAGAGCTGTGGGAATATCATCAAACACTGGAAATCCTTGTCTTTCCACTAAATCACATAAAAAAGCTTGACCCCTTTCCAAGTCTTCAAATTCGCTGGAAAAAAATAAATTATTACACAATTTGGTCAAAATATCAAATTTAAATACACTTTTCCAAATAGTCATGCACAGATGTCAAGACACAGATGGGTGTACAATGGGTATAATGATGATGCAATGATAGGTGTAATATGGGCATGAGATTGGTGTACAATAGGCGAATTTGGGTGCGAGATGGGTATATGATAGGTGTAATATGGGCATGAGATGGGTGTATAATAGGCGAATATGGGCAATGGATGGGTGTATGATAGGTGTACAATACAAATGTAGGTGTAATATGAGCATGAGATGGGTTTACGATAGACGAATATGGGTGTGAGATGGGTGTATGATAGGTGTACAATACAAATGTAGGTGTAATATGAGCATGAGATGGGTGTATGATAGGAAAATATGGGTGTAAGATGGGTGTATGATAGGTGTAAGATAGTGTAACAATGGTGCAAGATGGGTGTATGATTGGTGTAATTAAAGTGTGTAAAGCACACAATTTGGATGAGATTCTGGCAGCACTCAACATAGTATGGTCACATACTATGATTTAAAAAAAACACAGCCTAGACACAGTTTTAGCCTTTTTGACATTCATACAACTTTACATTAATTGTCTGGCTGTATCTTCAAATGATATTCAATGTACTTACCTTTCAGTTATAACCTCTCCCTCTAGGTCATCACCAGTCAGTGGAACACCTTGTATCACCACAAATAATGTACGTCCTACACCTGAAACATGCAATCCTGGTTTAGTAAAATTGTGTACAAGTCAGCGTAAATTCCCTTACGAAAAACTTCCATAGAGTTCTATAGATTTTTCTTGAATTTTATAGATTTATATATACTTTAGGCAAGACTTTTTTTATTCCTTGTTTCGCGAGTTTTTATGAGACAATTTTTTTTGAGGAGGGCGGGAAAAAAATAAAAATAATTCTTTTTTTTCCATTAGATTTGTGTGATTCTCAAAGAATTGTAAGTGAGATCATTGATCAGAGAGAAGAAATGAAATAAAATTTTATTCCATGTATAACCTTGTTTCTCATCTGCACGAGACTTCGGTACTTTGATCATGATACTCCCACAAAAATGCAACTTGGATTTGTTATGCGGCGGGCGGTAAAAAATGAAGATAAAAATAATATTTTGTTATCATTTTTTTACGCTTACAAGATGGCGGGCACAGGAAATTCCGCTGAAATAAAATTATATTTTTATTTCATTTTCGGCGGGTTTGCAAAACAAGGAATAATAAAAGTCTGGCCTTATTTTTAAATTACATTCTCCAACATAATCTTTGACATTCGTCACTATTGCTAGGTTTACATGGCAACATTTTATCAGAAACCAAACTATTACTCTTCCCACTTAGTGACAGGAGATTATCTCTGTATGTACATGTGGTTGGGGTCGAATGAGAGTCATGTTTGAGCCAATGAACAACACAATGCAATAGGTTTATCTACAATTTCAACATGTACCTGCTAACAGAAAAACCCAGTAAGTACTGTTAACTCATCTTGTTTGACTAAAATTGGCAAATTAAGTCATCTCTGAGAAATGGAGCTAGACATATTTGAGTGTTAAGATTTAAATATATGTTAGCATGTTTGAGTCCAAATGACTGCCAGTAGGCCATTTCTATTGACTTTGTATCTAGTTGGAGAGAAATTGGTCATTGCATGTCTGAGAAATGGCTCCTGGAAGGAAAGAAACCCGAATTAATAGTTTGGGAACTTTGAGTTCAAAACAATGGTAGACATACTGTTATGTTAGTACGGCCCAGTATCGATTCATATCTATTTGGGATTGTTCGAAAATGGTATTTTGATTTGTTCTGCATTGAAAAAAAGTTCAATGCTATATAATATTTCTCTGCTTGTTGTAGAACCGACAAGGCATTAGAAATTGTTGCTCGTCTTCAACATAATCACTTTAATTGTAAATTTAGAAAAGAAAGCTTTTAATTAATGACTGCTCTTGTGATTTTGACTTCTCAAGTTTCTCTGGCAGTCTACGGTGGGATGGTGTCCTTCAAACTAACTGTAAGTGTAACCATGACTACCAGTACACTGTTAGTTTATTGGAGTTAAAAATTTACATTACCACGGTTCATCTGATATGACTTGTAGCTACAGTATTTTTATTAAGATTAAGATAAGCAGTTAAGATTGTACTTTGTCATTTGGATATTATAACCTTTTGTAGGGCATTGAGTACTGAGGCTAAGTGATAGATGTAAACATTTCAAACTGGACCCAGTTTGCTGTCACTTTAAACTGACCCTTTAATTTAATACAGTGACAGTATTTAAAAAATTTCATGCTGGGTAAAAAAAAAAAAAATTTTTTTTTATAACTATGGAAATATTGATTGTCTGATTTAAATAGGCCAAATGTCAGCAACATATTTATGATCAATAAATTAAACATTTATTGGTATCTGGTTATAAAATGGTCAATGACCTGACCTATATAAGAATAAATCATTTAGAAGAGCATTTTGACTATCATAGTTTATCAAGACCAGCCATTGTTGGACACCGATTGAGATACTAAAGTTAAAGTACGAATGATAAGGAAAATGCCAAAAGGCAGGAGAGGTACAGCTAGGATAGAACATTTTGATAGTTTGAAGGTGCCATTGCCCTGAATTAAAAGATAGGCCAATGGCTTGTCACTTAACATTTTTTTGTCAAAAAACAAATGAAATCATAGTACAATGTATATTATGTATTATCTACCGGTAAATAGAGTACAGTTTATACCTATCTAGACATGTTT